CTATTTTCAAGACTTGGTGAAGAAACGATTTTGAAGGCTATATTCCCTAACATGATAAAACAACACTTTGATGAATTATCAGGTTATCTGTGACCATTTGGGGTTGGGAGTGAAGACTGGCCTTCCATACATATGGCACAGCAAAGCAAGCAACCCATTTGTGAATCTGAAGAAGGAGTACAAAGGCATTTTCTGGCAAGAAGAGATCATTCCCTTTTTCCAAAGTGCCACCCTCCCAAAGGATTGCACCTCTGTCCAAAACTGCTACATTGAACTCTCCAAGCAAGTGAAAGAGAAGCTTGGTGCTGTTGATCCATACTTCAACAAGCTTGCAGATGCCATGGTCACTTGGATTGAAGCTTGGGATGAGCTCAACAACTCATCTGAAGAATCTTCTTCAAAGCAAGAACCCAATGGGGCTGCCAAGTGAACCAATCTCTATAACCTTTAAGGTTGCGGACTTCAGTTTTCAATTCGAGTAGTTTCTTTCTTGTCAGTTTTAATTTATTATCATGCTCATCATCATTTTTGTTTTTTCATAATGCAAGATTATTATAGACAATTTAATTGATATTGATGTCGTTATTATTACTATTTATATATTATATTATTCTTATTATAAATATCCTTAGTGGCTGAGTTTTTCTAATTTAGGATTAATAATTGTGATTTGTTTGTTAGAAGATGGCACATTTTTTTTTTCATTTATAGTTATGCAGATGTTACATGTTACTGATTTTAGTATTTTAGTAATCACTAATTTAAAGTTATGCAGATCTTGCGGTTTTCTCGATTATAGTATTTTATTCTCTAATTAGAATTTAATAAGTTTGATGAGTATTCGAGTACCATCATGCAAGTGCCAGCTACTGTGTACTGCCGACAGATCCAATCCGTGAATTGTGATACCCCTCTGTTCGTTTTATCAATTCAAAATAAGTTTAAATTATTTTTGTTTGTTGTTGGGTTGATTTATGGTTTGTCTTTCTCAAAGATAAAACACTACACACAACTTGGTCCTAATCTATTTACAAAGGGAAATAATTACGTATTTAAACAAGTCTTTATTTTTAAAGTAACCCAGTGTTCTCAAGTAAAAACCACAACTATGGAAATAAATTATTATTAACGGGCTTTTTTATTTTTTACTGGTAATTACTTTTTTTAACCTTATTATATTTTAAAATTATTTGCACATGAAATTCTGAACATTATAAAAATGCCATTTGTATAAGATAAATTAATGAAACGAAAATAAACTATATGTTTTCATTAAAAATAGAAAAATGAAGGTTCAAGCTTGATTGTTGACCGTTGTTGCATGTGTGGGATCCACAAGTCTCAAATCCTAATTTATTTATTTGTTTTTACTTTGCATGTGTGAATGATTTAAATTCAAAATGAAATTCCATTTGAGGGAATTTGGACACGTTATTATGTGGGTGTCGGTGTATTTTGGTTTCTCCCAAAATGTAGTTTGAGTTTTGATTTTGAATTCAAAATTGGTGAAAGGGAAAGAAACATAAGGAGGAGAAAAGTGAGGGACGACATAATGAAGAGGATTCGATTTGGAACAACAATAATTCCTGTTTTCTTAATAATGTCTTTGCTAACATCCAAAGAAAGAAGGAACCCGGGTCACTTGGCCACGTAATACTCAAGTATATCATTTTTATTATTTTATAAATTAATATGATCATAAAATATAACTTTATTTTTTACACTTAAAAAATGTTCATAAATTAATCTGATTTTCGCCGTGCATTGAATCAGAACATGAAAAATACGAATCCTAAAAACATGTTAACTTTCGCCGTTGCCGGGGATCGAACCCGGGTCGTCCGCGTGACAGGCGAAAATACTCACCACTATACTACAACGACTCTATTGATTGTATTTTTAACTTTATAAATTGATTTAAAATAGAAAAATCAAATGTTTAGTACAAGAAAGTAATTATTAATTAACCACTGTCACCTATCGTAATTAATAGAATGATTAATCTGATGCACTTGATTTAGCTGCACTGAACTGATGCTGGTGTTCCTATACGACTCAATAATAAATTATTTTTTTTGTAGTCCAATAGTTATGAGAGGTTAGTATGGGCCAGAATAAATGTAGTTATTTCCAAACAATTGGCCTATAGACCGATAAAAATAAACGCTGGTGCTGTTGCATTGATTTTATTATGTAGTGTAAGCCATGGCTTCACACTCAATCACTCAAGAATTTGCCTTCTAAACATACCTATACACATAAAACAATTAGATATAGCATTCACACACATTCTTAAAAAACAGTAGCTCATTTTCGAAAAAAATAAAAGGGGGAAAAAAACACTAAGATTGTAGCTGATACTGGTCCATTATTTGTATCTAGCCATGGAATGAGTGATGAGTATACACAATTCACATAACTTTTCTGAAATATCATCTAGTCCAAAAGATTGTCATGAAAGCAAGAAACTCCATCATCATTCCATCTTGGCACAGAGCAAGGGGATGAGAATTACTATCAGTCACATCAGCACTATATGATATTTGACAGGTCCAGTTCATATATTCATTACTCTATGGCTACTATTTCCTTTCATATGCAAAGTGTAAAGTTAATATATAGAACAAATCCAAATTTGCACCAGAAGAAAACCAAGAAAATAACAGATACCACTCAGTGCCATGCCATTGTTACAATCAAACTCAGTAATTCCATAATCCCAGTAACCTTTTGTTTTGCATGCCTAGCACATAATAATGTGGTATATATATTAGTCAGACAAACAAGCATGGAAGAGTGCAGGAAAAAACACTCTGATAAGGAAAACAAGCATAAGAAAACATGACCAGTTGTAATGGAATGTTTCCATTATATTACTAATTCTATGTTTTTAATCTCTATGCTAAAGTAAAACACAAATTAAATAGTTTAAGACAAATTCTATGTTTCCTTTTATAAATTAAACACAGAATATTATCAGATATTGATATTTTATTCAAATTTATAATATGGACTGCATTTGTTTCTTTCTCTGGTTATTTTGGAGAGAGAAAATCTTATTCTAGTTACTTAAATTTTTCTTAGTTGCACGTTGCAACAGATTTGAGAAAGAAAAAGACTGAAATGAAAAAAAAAACTAAAATTTGTGAAATATATTAATTATTTTTTCTACTCTACATTAGGAGGACCTCCATTTTATATTAGGGGTAACTTGTTATTAAATAAAGTAATAACAAAAATGATACTTGAATACCTATCTTGAGTGATATAGAATGGACCTAGAATACTTATTTTTTAAGTCAAGACTCAGAATTAAGATTTTTATCTTCTGATAAATGTTTATTAATGAATCCTTTTAACGTTATTAAATCAATAAAAACACAAATGTTTTAATATTTTGAGTTTGTGTTATTACATATGATAAGATGACTAAGTTTTGAACTTATACACATTTTTCTGAAACAAAAAAAGCCTTTCAAAAACTTATTTTTTAATCTACATACATTTATCTAATTTTCTTCTAGAGGATTTTATTTTTCAATTTTTTTTAATATATGTGTTATTGAAATGTAGATAGTTAGATTTTTTCGTAGTTTTTCAATAATAAATCATGATGACACGTGTATATTTTAAGAACTTGTTTCATCGTAACCTCAATTACACTATTATGTAATAAATCTTAGATTTACACATGCAATATTAAATAGTTTGGTCAACGTGTTAGGTGTTACAGTATAATTACACTTAAATATGATATTTGATAATCAATAATTTTTATTTTCGAATAAAAATAATATATAAACATTCACCTAAAACTTTTGCTTGGTCTCTATTACCCGAATAATCTATGAAAAAGATTTAAATCAAATACTAATTAGTCACGTTCCACTTAATATAAAAAGTGTTAGACATAAGAAAATATATAAACTACAATTGAAGAAATATATATAAACTTCATACATTATATGCAAAAATATAAAAAGTGTTAGACATAAGAAAATATATAAATACAACAAAACTCATGTAACATAGATTATACTATATATGTAATGAGAGAAAAGCTTGCAAATTTTACTAAACACAACTATAGTACGAAGCATCTTGCCTATTTATTTATTTATTTATTATTATTATTATTATTATTACATTATTTACTTTTAATATTCATTACACAATCAAAAAATGAAAGAGTAAATAATTGGCAAAACACATGTTTTTTTCATTAATTGCGAGATAAACATCAATAATATATTACTCCACTTTAATTATCTTTCTAATCCGTATTATTTTCTTATACGTTGGAAACTCTTGGGATGCTTCAATGTTATTAGAAAATTGAAAATATAGGAAATTGTAGCAAATAAATATGATGTAATTAGAGGCTTAAAGTAGATGAAGAAACAGTTAATGTTTGACAATCATTATAAAATTGAATAACTATTTACTGACTTACATGGACAATGGTTTTAAAATTAAATCACACAAATAACCAATATTTTGTGGGAGAGTATGTGAAGTCTAATAATAAAAATATTATATCTTTAGATGCATGTGTATATGAAATAGGTTTATATTAAGAAATTTTGAATCGAACGTGAGAGACAATTAGTTTTTAAAACAATTAAGTAGTATTAAGTAAGAAGGAAGAGTGGTGATATTTTGACAATTAAAAACCATACAATCTTTTAAACCACTCACTTTTATTAATATAATAATCTATAAAATAATTGAATTAAAATAAAACTATTATTATAATATTAAAAGAGAGTTGTTTATAAGAATGATACATATTTGCACTCCAAAAATATCATTTTAGAAGGTAGAAAAATGTTGAAATGTATCACCCCAAATTGGAAAAGTATAGATAAATGAAGGAAACCGAAGCACCAGGACTTTACATTAGAGTGATGATGATTGATGGGGCAGTAAATGGCTGCAATTTAAACACGTCTCATGACTGCAAACCAAAATAATTAATAACCTTAATATAATACTTTCTTTTATATTTTTCTGAGAACCAGAGCAAAAGAGATTGGTCTGATATCTTCTTTGGCCATTTCTTCATCAACCAATCTTGCATAATTCTCAAACAAACTGTCCAAGATCCTCTCTCCAAAGTGGTGTGAGATCATTGATTCTTGAATGGCCCTAACTGCCTCAGCAACCTGTGTTCCATAGCTCTCACTTCCATGTTCACTCTTGTCCATCTCAAACATCTCTAGCTTCTCCAACTTCAACGACCCTTCTTTCCTCACTTCATCTTCTATCTCTTCCCTTGATGGTGCGTAGAAATGTACATCATATGAATCCAACATATCTTGCTCTATTTCCCCCTGGACAATCAAAACCAAAATGGAGAAAAAGAAAAAGAAAAGGTGACAAAAGAATTCATTCATTCATTCATAGTTATCCATATATACCTTTTAAGAGTACTTGGTCAGAATTTGAAGCAGAAAAGAAAGGGTAAAGGTGCATTCATAGTTATCCATATAGTTCTATTTTAACAAAAGCAGATTTCTTGATTGTATATACCTCCTAAAAACATAAATCCTATTATCCTAGGTGTATTCTAGAGAGATACTAATATTACATAATTTGATTCTTAAAATCGACAATTTATGTTGTTTTCATATTCAAAAGTATATATTTATTTATATGGGTCAGGATCTATGTGTTTACTAAATTATCTTATTAGTTCATAAGCAATTCTCTCTTGGTGGATTAGTTTGTATAAAAATAAAATAACACAAATTATCACTTTCAAGACTTAATATTAACCAGTTTTATATATTCCATGACTTTTTCATTTTATTTTTCTTTATGACACGAGAGCTTATGAGAAAACTGACATCCTGATAATGCAAGTTCACCGATAAAATTCCAACCAAAATCGTTTCATTGACTCTAAGGTCAAGCTAGCTAATTCTGATAAGCTGAAGTTAACCATTTACCACAAAATATGAGAATCAATAAATGATTGAAAGATCATGTCAATTGTCAAATACACTGCTAAAAATTAGCATGGATAACGTTACAGAACGTCCACATAAGTAGTATATATAAATCAGTTTGCAGCTATGGAGACTGTAGTGTTTTGTTTCAGTAATTAAGAAGGAAGTTACATATTTTTCAACTTTATTTTGTCCTTGTATGTTGAATTTCAATTTGTCAGTTATAACAGCGACAATAATAATGCGAATGATGATGGTGTGTCCTCTATCAACGTACCTGTGAGACTAGAATAGCAAATGAACGGGAAAGAATCTCCCAGAAGAAAGAGTTGCCTCTGTCAACATGTTCTGGGCCCCTTCTTCCGAGAAATATCAGCACCGTTCTCCCACCTACGACTAGTTCTTCAGACCTTGACCGAAGGAACAAGGAAAAATCTTCTTGGAATTGGCGAGAGTATGCTTGAGACACCACTGAAGGGCTTGACTCACAAATGTAAACACACCCTTTGTTCAATGGCCTTTTAAGCTCATCATAGAGTGCTGGAGGAACCTGCATGACACAAACCACCAATAACTAACCTAAGCATGTTCCTAGATACAACAATGATATATGGACACCCAAACAGTATAACTGTCTCTTTCTTCTTATCACATCATATCACTTATTATATTATCATACTAACCCGTGTATATCTAGAAAACATTATATTCTTCTAGATATGGGTAAATAGAACAGTAGAGGATGATGAGCCTGTCTAGGAAAGGGAAAGTGTATTATACCCTTGAAAGCCAGTGCAGACTGTAGGAGGAGTGGACAAAGTGCAAGTAACTGTTTGGGAATAATCTTCCATAAAATGAGCCAGGGTAGCCTCCCATGAAAACGGAAGGGAGCCCATTTTTCCTGTCTTGCCTAAGCAACTCGTGGAACTCTGGCAGGGCCTTGAAGATTGAATTGAAGTCATTTGTTGGGAGATCATTGAGGTACACCCTGAACTCGGTGGAGTGGTGCATGATCTTGTGGCTTATGCCTTGGATGGCCTGAAAGATATCTTTGATGATTGATAGGGTGTTCGGTCCAGAGGAACAGCCCAAATCAGCAATGCCTATGCTCTTGGGAGTGGTTGCAAGGTAAAGCTCCTCAACTGCTTGGATGATTATGTGCTTCACCTTATCAGATGCCTTCTTCTGTAGAAAGAAGATTAAAGCAGGTTTGTATAATCACAAAGAATTCAGTTGTAGCCAGAACAAGAAAATGATGGGGGAGAGATTGTAGATTGAGAAGGGAGAAGTAAAGAAGAAAGAACCTGCAGTGAGGAATTCTTGGCATAGCTGGTTTTGCCAACTCCTCCAGTCATGTGGAAGGCTTTCTCTACATCCATCTTTTTTTTTTTCAGTTGGATGAGGCCTTTCTAGCCTGTTAGTGAAGTTGTGGCCATCTTTTAAAGGGAGATTTCAATGATGAGGCTATTTACTTTTCCTTTTTTTTTTTTTTTATCTTTTCTATAATTTTTGTTTAACCCTGCTCTTCCAAGAAATATGGCACATTACTAATCATGGGAGTTCAGAACCTTTAGAGTGTCACTACTCACAAAACTCCCACCTCACAAGTGCCAATAATTGTTGCTGCTGATGATGCTCCTCGAGAAACAAGTCTAACCAAGCAATGTGGTCAAGGGAGGGTTAAGTTAACTTAAACCAGATCCTTGTGAAAAGAATTTGATTAAATTTTAAAGTCCAAAATGTCGTGTATGGGAGAGTACTCAGAGAGCAGGAGTTGATGTATTATCCCCTTTCCTAACTTACAGGGCTTAACTTATGGGGGGTTGTGCCTTTTTCTTTGTTGACACTAACGATTCAAGCTGTCAAAAAGTTTGATGTTAGGCATCATTCAAGTGAAAGTCCTATAGTGGATATTCACTATTTTGTTCCCGCAAAAGTTTTATCATTTGGTTGGAAGGGTTTGTGATTGAGTTGGAGTTGGACCAACTTGTGATGGTGCTAGTCACTGGCACTTTGTCTGGATCAATAACTTTGAGTCCATCAAATCAGTATAGCTTTAGATGGGTAATTAGATATTATATTTTATTGCACACACACAATTCCTTAAATTCAAAACTATTGATTCAATTACTGCATAAGGTATCGACTGGTATGAGGTTGTTCTAGTTTAACAAATGACCTGAGTTTGAGTTGTAGAAACATACATAACTATATGGCATGTACCTTACCTTGTGCAAAGATATAGTCAGAGCAGAAATGATTGTATGATTTATAGAAGATACTTGATAAGTAAAAAAAAGGGTATACTGAAATAGTGGAAAGAAGCAATGGGTTGTGGACACGTGCAGTGTAGTGGTGGTTAGTGGATGGATACATTCATTCCCACATGCACTGGGAAGAGATGAATTTTCAAACAGGAGCATAATTTGTCGAGGGGAGTGGAGAAGCATGAAAGGAAGGCACTGGTTACCAATTGAGGAGTCTGGGAATGGGATGGAAAGGGGGTGGATTTGACTGACCACAACAAATTGAGGAAACCAACTGTAGGTGTCAAGTACAAAGTGCCAAAAATCATGTGTAAGCTCTCAACCTGAACAACCAAAATTTACCATAAAACTTTGGGTTGAAAACTTTGGGATGAGGAGGGTCCCATCATCATCAGCACTGCCTTTGGTTTGGCCGACTTGGGACTCTGAATATAATTAGTTCAGAGAATATGTTTTCTTCGAAAAAGAAAACCTCTCTTTTTCTTCTTAGTTATTAATATCAAACAATTATGCAACGGATTTTATTAATAAAATCTTGATAAAACCCGCAAATCAGACAAAAATAAGTCAGTTTACTGGTTGAACAATAAATGTTGTAAACTTGTTTGTTTCTTCATCATGGACCAATTTCCTTCTTTCATTTATCACTTTTATTTGATTATTTAAGATAATTTATCTTAAAATTTAAATTCAATTAATTTATTGTTTTTAAATTTTAGAATTGAATTAAACCTATATAAAATTGAAAATTTAGTTTAATTGTATGGATATTTAAGTTTAAATAGTTTTTTTAACTTTTTTTTTTCAAAAACTATAATATTTTTTCATTTCTTTACTTCATATGAGTCATATAAATTGTAAATAATAAGAGTTTTATTATATTTATAGCTTATGATTTATTAATCTTTAACTTTGTATTTAAATTTTATAACGTAACTTGCGATGTGAGTTTTTGTTATTATTTTATTTTTCATAAAAAAATATTATTATATTAATGAATTTATCATAATATTAAAATAATAAAAAATGTAATTTTATTTAATATAATTTAATTTAGTTGAAGCTTTACAACTTTGATCCATAATTTAATCTTAATTCCATTTTAAAAACACATGTTTTTTATACACATGAAATATCTCTCTTTATCATGGTTGTTAAAAAAAATTATACTTAGCAAAATTGGTACTGATTTGGACCAAATAGCATACACAAAATTACTTTAATTTAATTTTTATAAATTGAATTATTTCTAAATAAAACTGAACTATAACTTGTGATATTGTAAAATACTTTTAAAATAATATCTATGGATGATAGTTGGCACAATTGAAATGGTTCAAGTATTAATTTATTTCGCTTCATTCAAACTATAATTAACATATTTCAATTAAATTCATCTGATTAATTATATAGTTCAATTTTATCTAATTATATTTAGAGTTTAGTTCAGTTTAATTGAGTCATTTTCTATACCTTATTTTTAATTATCAGATGTAAGAACGTAAGTAATTTTAGTCAGTTCAATTTTAAGAAATTTAAGAAAGAAAAAATTATTTTTATTATAATAATTAAAATACTTACTTTATGCCATTTGTAATATTTTAATGAAAAAGTTGTTAATATATTTATAAATATAGTTTTTATTTAAGTAAATAAATAAAGAAATATATATATATATATATATATATATATATAAATATATATATTATTCATTTTCTCTTTTTTCTTTTTCTTTCCTCTCTCACAGCCATAATTAGTAGAGTTAAATCAGTAAAGAAGGTAGTCTAATCAAGCTTTACTAACAACCTTAAACAAAGTCTGAATTTAGAGGCTGAGTAGACCATTAATACAGCTGACAACAAAGTTGCATCTACTCAACTACCTAATAATTTATATATTTTCAAGGGAATTTCTCTCTAACTTAAGGTTTAATTAGGAATGGATTATTTTTTACAAAATTCGTATATTAGATTATGTGTTCAATAGATATATACAGAGGTATGAAGATTTTAATTACAACTTATTAAAAAAAATATATATATACCCTAAGGAAGGTAAATAGGAGGGAGGATGTTTTAATTTGAGTAGGAAACATGAGATGATATGGAGTTATAAAGGGTATAAAAGCATTCCTTGATAAAGTAAAATTGAAAAGGTAGGAAGAAAGAGTTGTTGATAAGAGTGAAAATGAAGTGAAAAAAGATGGTAATTAAGAGAAGAGCCAAGTGTTTGTTATGTTTGGTAAAGAAGTGTGGTTTTGAAGGAGGATGGAGGATGGAGGAAGGAGGAAGGAGGAAGGTGGGGGGTTATCCGGAATGGAGAAAGTTGGTAAAAGGGAAAGGAAGTGGGAGGATGAAAGGATAAGAAGAGAGGGAAGCGTGGTTTATTAACAGAAATGAGAAAAGATTGTATCATACGTAACCTCCTGCTATTGCAGACCCTTTCACAGCTGTTTCCCTTGTTTTTCCTGCCTAATTCCATTACACGTGAGAATATTCCCCACCCTCTCTCTCTATTTAAACTTCTCTTTACTGCATGCATCTTTTTAACCCTAAACTATTTACTCACCAAATCAATTTACAACTCTCAAACACTTCCAAATATATATATGTATGGAAAAAGCAAAATGATTAGTGAGGGGCAAAAGCAGAAATTGAAAATGATGGCAACTGAGACTGTCATCCCTCACCGTTTCCCCCGTACCTGTCTTTCCTTTTTCTTTTTTCCACACATTGCGTTCATCGTCTTCCTCCTCACCTTCTTCTCTCATATCTCTCTATCTCCAACCTCCATCACCATTTCTTTAATCTTATTATTATAAGCTTTTAATCATATTGCTTTACAATGTTATTCAACTCATAATAATGAGTGTTTCCTCCACTCATACAATTCCACGTATTATACATGCACAACACATTAATCTTTACAATGTGGGAGGGAACATTTATTTCCTAACCTTTTAAGTTAAACATAATCATAATTCAACTAGACGAAGCTTAAACTTCAATCAAACTCGATCAACTTTGTAAAACCAATTATTCTTAGAATTTTTGTCACTTCTATCCAAAGATTTGCCCTCATCTATACAGAATCCAACGAATCTACAACACCCCAATTTTTGGAAACTGGTTTCTCACGTAATTTTCCTGCAAGAACACCTCAAGTTTAGAATCACATTTAAGTATATATATTTAGTACTCATACCACTATTCACTTCAGCTTTTTCCTTTCACCACTGTCTACTTCACCTTTTCTACTACTATTCACTTCAGCTTCTTCATTTTGTCGTTTCATGGTTGACACCGTCAATGAATCCCATTCATAATTTATTTTAAAAGATAAATTATTTCAATTAAATATTTATCTAATTAAATTTATTTATTATTTATATATAAGATAATAAAAAAAATAAAAATTATCATTTTTTTCTCTTTATTGGTTTCTCGTTTTTTTTCCTTTTCATTTATAACTTGTTTTCCTCTTTTCTCTCTTCCTCTTTTTTTTCCTCTCATTTTTCTCCTTCCATCTTATTTTTCTAATTAAAAATACTACATTAAAGTTTGATAAATTAGATTTTTTATTATTTCTAAAAAATAAAACTATTTAAATTACATAAAAATAATATAATTTAATATATTATATTTGTAAAAATATCACATGATAATTTTTGAGGTATTAAAAATATTATTAGTATGTTGTAATTATTAAAAATAAATAAATACTTATTTTAAAGGAATTTTTTTAGAATTACTTAATCTGACTAATCATCATAACTCAACCAAATTATAATTATATTAAATTATTAAATAAAAAAATTTCAATTTATAAATATTTAATATTTTTAATTAGACGAATAATTAATTTATTATAATAAATAAATCAATTACTTATTGTTATTATAATTTTAAATAATTAATTGATATTTTTAGTTTCAATGTTGATTCTAAAAATTATTTTAACATATCTTTATTAAATTTTAATTTAATATTTTTAAGTAGAAGAAGAAAAAAAGTGAGATGAAAAAGAGAGAAAGAAGAAATTAATATTGAAGAGATAAAAAAAATAAGAAACTTGTGAGAGAGAAAAAAGAAAAACTGAATAATAAATAAATAATAATTAAGTAAATAAATTAATAAATGTTCTATTTTAAATAATTTTTTTATTAAAATATATTATTTATAAGATTAATTCTTTAAAATTATAATAGGTGAAAATAATGTATACAATGAAAAAAATTATTCAATTTTCACTTAATAATAATTATAATATATCATAAATAAGAGTAGTATCTAATTGAGTAGATTAAGAAAAGCCGTTGTTGAGAAAAATGATAAGATTGGCTTTTGTGGGGGAGTGGACATTTACTTTGGTGCCGCCAATATGTATAAAATATATACATCACCTGCATATGTATTCATGCACTAATTAAGTATGGAGAATTAGTGTCCGTAGTATCCCACTACTTGGAGGGTTTAGGACCCACAGTTATTTGACAAGTGCTCTATTGACTTTCCTTCAATTATTCTTTATTTATACATATTTGTGAAAAAAATAAAAAAAGAGAGTAAAATTTTAATTGTGGGGTTTTCTAATCCGTTCCTTAGCACATATTTTAGACTTTGACTTGGATGAAGTAGAAAGAAAGTTATTAGTTTCACGTTTAAAATATTAGTCGATGGATTCATCTATACTTTTGTAGTAGAAGATTGGGAGGGTAATAATGTTGAATATATGGAGTGAGTGTTGACAAACGGAGTGAGTGGGGACTTGAAACTTGGGCGAATGACATGAATGGGGGCATGCGCACTTATTTGGCTGCCCCAATGTGTGCCCTACACAAAGTCAACATGCCATACACTTGATACATTCATAAACCATCCCTCCTTAACGTTCAACTTGGGTCCTCTGTAAAGCGTAAAGCTATACTATTACTAGTAGCATAAATGCTCCCAGAGTTGAAAATGAACCTAACCAATTTAAAAACAATTTGATCAAACTAAATTAATTTTAATGAATGACTTCAAAACATGATGGATATTGACATCTTTGTAGATCTTATTATGTATGAATAGAAATAATGAGAAATAATATTGGATTGAATCAAAGGTATAATTAAGATATCAAAACCAAGAAATGAAACAGTAGAAAAAGTGGTAATCCATTTTCCTTCTTTCTTTTCTCCCCTAACAAAACACTTTATATATTGCTCTCAGGATCACTCAATTCTCTCACCCTAAAGTTAATCAAATGGTGATTGTTACAATTAAAGTTCCTTTTCTTAGTTATTGCTTATTGTAATAAACATCTTAATAATCAGATAATTAAAATTGATGAAAAATATTTCACATGACTTATCTCAATTTTCTAATATGTTCTATATATTCATTAATTAGGGCATTCACTTGTTGTTAATTAATTCTAAATTAAAATCGTCAACATATTTTCGAAGACATTATTCATTCAATTTTGAAATATATTAAGAATATTTATGAGCTTCTAGTAACATACATTGAATCACTTGTTTTTGAAAATATTTCCATTTAATCCCTCCCTACAAAGTGAGAGTTTAGTGAAAGCAACTAATGTGTCATATTAATAATTGAGATGTCAATTAATATGTCGTATTAACAAACTATCATTTCCCACGGAATAATAACAAAATGTGAAATCTTTCTTTGAAGTTTAATGGTTTTAGATAGCAGAAAGAAAATGTTATATATATTTAAGGGTAAAAAGGATATTTAAGTAAAAAAAAATTTAACAATTTAAAGTTAAATATATTTAAATTAAATTAATATTAAATAATCCTATTTCTGTATTTATTTAATTTTTTGTTCATTTTTAAGGATGGTTTGTGTGTGGCTATTGTTGTTGGTTCAGATTCATGTTCCAATCATCACTGATGTGATTCAACTTGGAACCTAGCACGTAAAAAGAAGCAAAGTTCATTTTAAGGACACGTTTCGAATAGGAATAATACATACACTCGACTGCTTCGAAGCTTATGCTCAGCTTTGATTTGACTAAAACTCCACCTATTTCTTATATATATATATATATATATATATATATATATATATATATATATATATATATATATTATCAAAAGTCTTACAATTTTTTATATCATCTGAGATCTCCCTTAGTTACTTAAATATGTATTTTTTTTTCAACTTACAAATGTAACATGCGATTCTTCTAAATATAAAATCATGATTCAGTAAAATTAAAATAAAATGTTTTATGATTTTTGAACATATACACTCCATCGAAATATTTAATGTTATTCGAGATAATAATCACGGACATAATAAAATAAAAATAAATATTTTATAATTTTTTATACTTGAATATTATTTTATGAAAATATTACATTTTTTTATTCTCATTTATTATTTATTACTCACTTAAACCATCGAAACGTTTGAAAGTGGTTCCCCGATCCGGGGTGCATCCAGGAACGACACATTATAGAATTCTAGCAACTCACTAAATCTAGGGAATACGTTTTTTCTTTTTAATAAGTCACATCAATGAAATGAAAATATTTGTAAAAGTAAAAGATAAATTGATATAAAAAAAACTTTAATGAAGTAGTACAGCATCCAATACCTTTTTGAGGGGCTGAATTGAAATACGTTTGGTCGGTCATCTACTGTAAAAGATAAGAAAGCTCGTTCATGCGGTTTATCTCAAGTACACCGTACAGTGTCTAAAGCAAACAAGGGATAATAGCTTCTGCCAAACAAAACCTAAATATTTTTACTTTCTTCTTCTCTTCTAACGATGTACGGAGCATCTCGACATCATCAATGAAATGAAATATTATTTCATTCCCACAATGGATTCATTCTAATTACTTACAAGGTAGTCACAGAATAAAGTTTTTAATATTCTCCTTCAATTATAGATTCTAATGCATGTCTCTCACACAAACACACTCAACAAACTTATATCAGATTATTTTAAATTAGGTTAAGAGTGTAGACAAATACATGTAACACAATTTAGTTTGTACAACTTTACCATGAAATGTTAATTCTCGATATGAGAGTGTTTGAAAGTCGAAACCTGCATGCATTTTTTAAGATACCATATTATGATGTTTCTTTCCTTTTTTGGTTTGGTGGGGTTCATGAACAGATCTTGAGAAAAGTAATATTCCAACTAAAAGTGTTGTTTACTGTGGTGATTAGTTTGGTTATTTTGTTGAAATCTAAAATGGATCGATCATGTTCTACCTACTCCAATGCACCTTTTCAACCTTGTGCATGTTACCAGCATCATAATTGAGGCTCTTTTGGTTGGATTGAATGAAAGGATATGTGAACTTTTTTTCATCCCAGCCCTTGCATGCCTTGCAAAATCGAAGGACCCATTGTAAAGTTAGTAATAATCAAAATTAATAAAGTAATTGTTCCATTGTAGATAAAGAAAATATTGTATGTACCAAATTGATAAACATTTTATAATTCATTGCAAAAGAGAATAACCAAATTTTGTTCATTACACATTGTATCCTAAATGTAACCTTTTATTGATGCATGCATGCTCTATCTGCCATAGGTACAACCATATTCCTGTGTCAACAGGTTTGGGAAAAATCTGTCAAGTTAAAAGATTCCACGTTCATGCAAAACATATATCTAGACAAATAAATGTGTAACATACAGATATATTTTCACAAATGTAAAATGAAAAGATTCCACGTGAAATAGATTTTGTGAAGAGTTTATGCTAAAATGCAAGTTGCATGTCAACAATTATTGGCACTGGTCAACATTTTTCTGATAATTTATGCCATTATTCATGAAAGCGATATGTTTCTTTAAGAAATTGACTAGTCTTGTGTTAGAGATAGAAGTGATAATGAAGTGAATATGTTTGTGAATGAAGGAATCTCCCATGTGGTGTACAAAACAGCTTTAACATTCCAAGGTGACAGGACATTCTGAATAATTAATTCCTGTGACTAAACTTTTGATCTAACTAATGTTGTTACGTTGAATTTATTTAGGAAGTAAAACCTCAATCATGTCCTTGTCCACTACAAGTTTGTTAAGAGTTAATTAATGTGGTTGTTGTGTTAGTACCTAAGGCATCCATTCCAACTGTTATTCAATGGCATTCACTCTTTATAGTGCACAGAATAGACCCACCATGTATGCCCATTAGCTAAACTGCAAAAGAAAATGTAATAAAATCTTCAAAATATACTAAAATCTTATCTTATGATGGACATCAGGTGTTGGAATTAGTTAATGTACTAAGCATACATACCATTACTTGCAAACATCCTCTGACAACTAGTGTTAAGTGTGAATTGAAACGGAAAAATGATACCTTAAAGTGCACAATAAATTTTCATTTAATTTTGTTTTTTAGTTCTTAAAAACAGTTTTAAAGATCAATTTTAAAAAATAATTTTTAAAGATAAGCTGAAAAAATATTCTTTGATAATTTAATTTTGAAAACTATATATTTTAAATAATAAATTGAAGGTTTGATAAAATAAATTTAAGTGTGTGAAAAGGGAAGAAGTAAATGAAAAGAATGAGGTATGGAAAGTACCCCAGAAAAGAGCATAGAGGACGAAGAAAGAAAGGATAAAAAGGTGGAAAAAGATGAACAGTGTGGTGGAAGCATTAGATATTTTGTCGTGTAGTGCATTGTTTGGTAGGCTCGTGAGTGATTGGAGCATAAATTGGTGGTAGGGGCTCGCTCTATTGCTAATGGAAGTTCATTTCTAAGCATCACCCAATGGTAGGGTTAGCCCCTTTTTATATATATATATATATATATATATATATATATATATATATATATATTCAATTAACCTAATCAAACCGTTTTTTATAACCACGCTTCATTAATTCATTCATTTTTTCAAAATAACTTAATGTGTCTTTGACTTCGTATCTTCGGTTTTCATATCCACGATTTATCTCATTTAATTTTGTTTTTTAGTTTTTAAAATTTATTTTAAACGAAAAATATATATGAATAATTTTATAATCAAAATTGTACAACTTTTTTAATTTTTAAAAATTAAAAAACTGAAAACTATTTTTAAAATAATAAAAAACAATTATTCTCATAATAAAATTACATCAAAAATTAGAAAAGTTAAATAACTATTTATTACTTTGACTTCTAACGTAAAATTGAAAATCAAGTATTAAAAAAAATCGAATAAAAAATATGTACTTAAAATAGCGTCAATTTGAATATAAATAATGAACTGACATTTGATTTGATATCACAAATTAAACATGTACTTAGTTTTCTTTATTCAATTTCACCATCTTCATTTCAATTATTCATTTCATTTTTATATGTGCATGGATCATTTTTTTATTATTATATATAATATAAAAGTCCAATGACCTAATGGGCTTTGAAGGGTGCCCAATTATTTTACTTTACACCCAGAAAGCAACAAACTGGTTTTTGGATTTTGGTCTGGGGAGAGGCGATCCAGTGTAGAAGATGATGCCATTTTCAGTGACATCATTGGAAATACCTTGTGATTCATTTATTTTATTTTTGAAATCAAAAGATAATATAATATTTACGAAAAAAACATTAAATTTAAGTTCATCCATTTTTTTAGATCTCAGTGTAATGACTATGCACATCTTTAACAAAAATTTCATGTATTGGTGGTCTATGATTTCCTTTTTGACCTTTTCAACCCAAATTAATAGTGGATTCATATAGATTATAATATTAAGAGTCTATGGTGTATTATTTTCAATATCATTTATTTACGATGTATCAATTTTTATTGTTATATTAATTTTTATACTAAATTTTTATCCCTTTCAATTCATCCATTTTTATTTTTTATGTCATAATTAAATTTCAATAAGATGTAAAAATATGCATACTATAAAATATTAATTAAACAAACTTGTAAAAACATAATTTATTAATCGTATACATCCATCACATTAATAAAAAAAATTATGACGTTTAATCATATAATCAAGAAAATTAGAAATGTAAATTTTTGGTTTCTACATGAATTTCCTCGGCTTACCATATAAATTCATGTCCAGTGGAGTAAAATATATGAATGAACCTAATTATGGGTTAAATAAGCTTAAATTAGGTTGATAATAAATTATATGTGATTATTTGACTTTAGTGATTTTTTGGAAAAAAAAAACATGACATTTATTTTAGTGAGTAAATTTATATAATTCTAGTGTAAGTTGTGTCACAAAAATAATATAAATTTAATTATCTAACATTGAGACCCATAATTATATTCATTAAAATTTTAACTTTTAATTAACATTGTCGTATACTTAAAAAATTGATGAAAATATATAGATTTTTTTTCTTTATCATGGTTGCCTTGTGGCTTGTTTTGTATAAGTTATATTGACTAACTGTGGGAGACCTACTTATATTCATTAAAATTTTAAGTTTGATTAACATTGTGATATAAAAATATATGAAATATAAAGAATTTGGTATTTTATTTAATTTAAAACTGTTTATAATTTTTATTTATAAAAAAATATTTTAATTTTATTATTTAGTTTAGGTATTATATTATTCTATTATTAATCTTTTTGGGTTTTAGGACTTTTAAATATATATATTTTTATCCATATGAGATGATAACGTTTCTCTCGTAACTTTTTATTTATATACTTTATATATAAAATAAAAATTAAAATATTAACACTATTTTAATTTTAATTATCTAAATAAAAATAAAAATATAATATATATTTTTCTTATTCTAAAACATAATAAAATTCTTTTAATACCTAATTTATGTAAAAAATAATAAAACATATATTTCTAATAAATCTATACTATATAATTTTAGGAAAAAAAACTACATGTTACTAAAAAATCACTTTACCAAATTATATTTAGGATTTCAAAAAGAGATTTTGTTTTAGCTAATAAAAATAAAACTAGCTGAAAATTCATGTAAAATGTAACCTAAGATTACAAAAAAAGAGTTTACCTTTTATGTTTTTTTTTTCTTAAATGAGGTGATGTATATATAATGATTTTATCTGATAATTCTAAAAAATATTTAAATTTAGTCATTAGATTAAGATAAAATGAATAATTCCAATAAATATTTAAATTTAGTCATTAGATTAAGATAAAATGAATAATTCTAATAAATATTTAAATTTAGTCATTAAATTAAGATAAAATGAATAATTTATTAAAATTATACACGTATCCCCTTTCTTTTCTTTTAAGACACATAACACGAACACCCCTATATTTTAAACCCTAACATACAAAAATGTTCTTCTCTTCCCTTGTATGGTCCCTGAATATTTCTCACGAAACATTGTTCAAACAAAATGCATAACAAATTCTAAAAATCTACATCATTTACACAACCTAGAAAATGTGAACAAAATATCACATTAAACAACACATATAGAGAAAATATGGGTTGCTAAAACAATAACGAATGAAAGAATACAAAAGGTGTACAAAAACTCAAATGTGGAATTGTTAATTTGACTTATGTAAAACCGTTTTCCTACTCAGTCGGTTGTATCTATTACAACACAAGAAAAAAAGTGCTAAATATTATTACTTTAGCCCATGAAAAATAATAAATTAAAAAAAATATTAAAAGTGCAATTTAGTATAAAATTCAAAAAACTTGTATAAACTTAAGTTATAATATTAATATAGTTTAAAAGAAAAAATATAATAAATAATTAAATTGATAATGCAGATTTTTAAGAATTAATCTATAACAACGTTTTAGATTTCTAAGAACTAAGTAGATTAATCTTAATGAAATGTATTTGACCGGGCTATGGTTATTGAGGAAATGTATATTTAATAGATTGGATGAAAAAGCAGTTCTGAACTTGAGAATCATGATTTTGGTTATTTTGCAGTGGAAAAACCTAGTTGCCTATGTATTGACTAAACCATTTTCATGATTTGATTATAGACATTTGACAGGTAGACATTTAAAAGTTATTTATTTGAATGCATGGAAACAAAACCACTTTTACAAAATCACTTCATTCAAACTCACCTTTAATCAAAACAAATTTGATGAGAAAACCCTTGGCAGATTATGCAGTATGACATAGGAAGGTTTAGACACAATATGCAGTAACATAGTTTGGTGATAGGTAGTAGTAGTAGTAGTAGTAGCCCTTAGTTTGGGGCATGTGTTTGTGGATCAGTGTCGTGGTGTCATTGACCCTTGTTCACCTTTATCACAGAGGGAGAAGAGGAGAAGGTGTGTTGTCCCAATTTCCCGATATGGATAACAAGTTTGGGTAACAATAGATCAAATGATTGTGTCCAAATAAGTTAATGAACAGAACTAAACGTAGGAACATGATGTGAAAGAGGGTGGTGTGCTATAGGGACATGATTTCGAAAAAGACAAAGGAATCTGTACACCAAAAGAATACAAATTGGACCTTAACTTTAGTACTTTGTTTTGAAATGAAGTTGTAAGATGAGAGTTGTGAGGAATGAATTTGAACAGTGATTCCCACATGAGCATAAGAGATGGTGTTGTTGATGAATAGTTGAAGATGAATTTATGTGGCAGCAAAAGAGAGAGAGTGGGCATTCATCGGACTAGAGAAAAGGGAGAGGGGCTAGGTGGGTGAATGAGAAAAGGTGTGAGACCTAGGTAGGGAAAGTGGTGTGCATTTATTTATACAAGCATGGAAAGGTAGGGGCCTGAAGAGAGGAGATAGATTTGTTGCCATGTTTGGGAAATGTGGAATCGTCCCATCACAAAAGGACACCCACAAACCCATCCCATCTCCTGCCATCACCAATTCACATGTCACTCTCCCACCTGTCACTCTCACATTTCCTCTTCAAGTGCTGCACCCACAAAAAGAGGCCTTCCATTACAGGGCCCCTTCCCTTCACTATCTTTTCTCCCTTCCCCTTTCCTCTCTATTTTCAACCTCTTCTCACCCTTCCTCTGCCCTTTCCCTCCCTTTCCTTCCATCCAATCCCTTCTTCCTCTTAATTGCTCCTACCCAACCGATGCCCTCCAACATACGAAAACACTTCTCTCTATCTACTCACTCCCCCTTTCCTTCTGTTTACTTTCATTACCACAAATATTCCCTCCAAATCTATACTCTCTTCCTCTTTTATTTCACAACCATCTTTACTCTACTGCATGTCAAAAACACATAAACATCATGTATTAGCTTTCGTTATTTGTCTCATTTTTGTCTTTAACATAAATTCAAGATTAATATTTTAAGTGAAACTAACTACGCACATATGAGAAACTACATCTAATTATTGTCTAAATAAATACGAACGTTAAATATATTATTAAATATTTGTAACATCGTTGCATTACTTTTGTATTTATATATTAAATATTAAATAATTTATTTTTCAAATAGAACTTTTTATTTATTTACTTCTTAACCAATTCAGCATTATTTGCATTTTTTATTGGTTTTAGAAGGTTATCAAGTGCCTATTTGATTGGCATGTATGGTATATGACACATGCACGCATAGTAAGGGACAGGAATATTATGAACCGAATTAAGATTCTATTAATCAAGATGGGTAAAAAAAGAAAAGGAAATTAAATGGTTTTGTAATCAAATTGTATGTAGACTAAATTCTGGCTCTGATTCCCAGTGTTTATTGTGTTGAAGTTGACTTCTTTACACATAATTGGTATTTTATTGTGGTGTTAATTTTGGAAGTTGTCTCAAACACTTTTTCAGCTTCTGTTAGCATGCATGCATGCATGCATGGATTTAATTGAGGTTCCCATATTTACAGGGTGGGCTTCTAATTCCAATGAGCTTCATAACCATTCACTTCAATAGCTGAGCTGGTGCAATCACTGCATCTGAAATGCAATGCATTTATAATAATGGGACAGTTCCTATACTTTATTTTCCTTATTTGAGATGTGGAAGCATTATGGGTAGCCATTTGAGGGAAAAAATAGTGAATAACTTGCAGAGAAAGTTATTTTGGAAGGGTTGAATGCTAGGGTTACTTAAGAAGTGTGTGTGTGTGTGTAGTGGTGAAAAAGAGGGGCCAGCATGTTTATTTATGCAATGGAAAGTTTAGGGGAGGGGAGGTTAGCTTCCAAACTCATGAAATTCTCAACCACACTTTATCATGTCACAACATTTTAAATTTCTCTTACTATAACTTATGTCACTTGATATATTTACTTTAATTACAATTTTTTTTTTCCTTTTATGTTATGTGCAATCCAATACACCCTATGAATGGTATCAATCAAACCTACACATCATTAGGGTTAGGTTTAGTGGAAAAGGGTATGTGATACACCAATATTAGATTTTTTTGTTGAAAAAAATGCTCATTTTTTGAAACACAATATATTTGAGAGAAAACAATACATGTCAACAAAAAATAACAAATAAATCTCTTGGGATTTTAATATGATCTATTGTAAGTATTAGTTACACAATTATTTTGAATGAAATTGTTTAAAGATATTATTGGTGACGTGACAGTGTAATAGACTGCGACATTTCATCGTGAATGGTTTAATGTACCAACACAAGAGAGTGTCATGTCATGTTAGTGGATAGTTCAAAATTATACGGTTCAAATAGTTTGAAGCCAAATTCATTCAAAAAAATATAAAGATCAAAACGAATTTTAACAATAGTTGAGAAACTAAAAGGGCAATGCAGAAATAACAAAGTAGAAACTTATAAAAAATTTATACAATATTTCTATGATGGAAACATCTAAAAATATTTGGTATAAACATTTATCTCCCTACAAATTAAATGGCATCAAAGTTCAAACTTAAATCTTTCAAGGGCCTGTTTGCATTAACGTAACATGTTCATAGAATTCAAAAGAGAATTACGTATGACTCAAAAATAAAGTATTGTTTTCGGAGAAAGAGTGAAGATGAAACTCTTGCTGCTAATCGATATTTACAAAGCATTATATATGTTATGTACCAGTGATTCGAACTTACTTTCATCCCCAAAATATTTATTAAAAGAGTTTTCTGTGTTTTGTTTTTTGAAAAAGTAAAAACCTTTATAATAATTTAATCGAGTAAACATTCCTTTTCGTTTCTGAAAAATGTAGGAGGTAATAGTTAAGTTTTGGAAAAAAAAAATTACGGCAAGTAAATACTTAAAAGTTTACCTACATTGCATATTGGTCGTTTTCTTATAATTGGTTACTAATTCAGTAAGTGAGTTGAACAGAAGGCAATTAAGCGTAAAGGTGAAACTAAAATACACTTTTTATATCTCTAAATTGAATTAGATTAATAATCAACCCTTTTTCTTCTTAAATTACTTTCTCATCTCTTTATATCTATTCCGAAGAGTTATTAAAAGAGTTTTTCAATATATATAGATAATTTTAATATAAATTTTATGTACAAAATGACTTAAACAGATAAAAATCACTTATACAATTAACCTTCACTTATTTTATTAAGCAATTTTATATAAGAGACTCAGATTAAAATAATATTTTTTTATTTATAAAAATTCTGTTAAAAAATTATAGTTAGGCATAAGACTAATATACATTTTCATTTTGATATACATTCACATATTACTTTCTCTTCACTATTTCCCAAATATTAGAGATTCTCACAAAGTATATGAATCAACTATATTAAAAAAATATGTAACATTTTTTTTAATTCAAAATTTTAAAATATTAAATAATAAAATTTTCTTATTCATAAATTACCCAGTTTTCTTATTTTTATTTAATATAAGATTTAAACTCTAACATGAATTTTCAAGACTTACAATCAAACCATGGATTTAAGCACTAAATTATTTTCATCTTTCAATTGTTTTTATTTTTCAATTCTCATATTTGTTATTAAGCTTGTAAACTCAATTATTAAACAAGAGCTCAGAATTAAAAATCTCAATTCCAAACCTTGAATCAAATTAGGGTTTCTAATCTTAAATTTGAAATCACAACAGAGAAAGAAAAGGGATTTGGGAGTGCTACGTATACTCTATCAACCAAGTACTCGCTAACATTAAGGGACCTATTCGTCATTTTCATTTCTAGGGTTCTAATTATCACCTCTATCATTTAGGGACTAAAATAAGAATTTATTTTAATTTAATTACGATAAATTGTCTCCAATATACATATATACCTAGTAAATGTTTGGATTGGTACAATTTCGAAATGTTGAAGAACAGAAACATGCATTTTTTGTTTGTTTGAAGGAAACAAGCCACCACTTTCTCTCTAAATTTTTCAATGTGATTGTAAGAGATTACATAGATAATTCAACTTTTCTTTCTTAACACAGACACAACAATTCGTGCCAATAAAATAGTAAACTTCTAAAATTTATATAGATTCTTTTTAATCATTCAACCATTGTAAACCCTAATACTGAATGCCCCTATGTAAACTTAAATTAACAATAAAGTCAATGATGATTAACAGAATCAAATAAACTTGTATTTGAAATTGTATAGCCTCAGTCTGTGGATCATGTTGGTGAGTATACATGTATATATGTGCGAAAAAGTAACGATATTTTGGCGATTGTAGATGGTTAATTAGTGTCAGTGCTTGGTGCAGGTCATGTCTGCAAACAAAGCGTGCAATATAATGCTGCAGCAAATTGTACTACTACAAGACCAAGTGGTAAAACTACCCTTCTTTTTGACGCTACCCCACAACACAACAACACAACACATCACAACCAACACCACTTCATCTATCTATATATCTTCCTGTTCCTATTCCTATATATCACCCACTGACCCTTTCAAATTGCTATCTTAAACCCTACAACTGCAACATTTTCCTCCCTCTGCTAAACCTACTTACTCTTCTTTCACACTTCTCCTCCTAACCCTTTTTCCTTCGAAATATGAACCACGACGACAAAGTCACCATGGACCTGGTTCCACCATCTGAACACCTCTGCTACGTTCGTTGCAACTTCTGCAACACTGTCCTCGCGGTAACTTCATCTTTAAACACTGCAAACAGCACACCAACCACCATTCAATTTGTTTGATGACTCATGCTGTTATTTATTTATATTATAGTATCATAAGGTTACGTTTATATTCAACTTCTATGGTATCATAAGGTGTTTTTGAAAAGAAAAAAAAATGTCCGCAAATATGATTTCCGTTGCAATATCAAGGTCTGTGAGAACATTTGTGTTCGCATTATCTATAATCTTTTGCAGCATAAAAAAACATCAGAACATGACTACGGAACCTTGTATATACCTATTGGAAAATGATTGTCAAACTTTTCCGAAGCAAAACTGAATTTGTTAAATGATGAGTACAAGTGGTACTCAAGAAGTACATTAACAAAAATAATGTTACCTAAAAGTGAAAGAGGGACTAGAAATATTTACATGTAGGGTCATGTTGATGTTTCTGTAGGTTGGTATCCCATGCAAGAGGCTGTTAGACACAGTGACAGTGAAATGTGGCCACTGCAGCAACCTCTCCTTTCTGAGCACCAGACCCCCAAATTCTCAAAACCAAAGCATTGATCACACCCTCAGTCTCCAGGTTGTGTACCCCTCATAATTAAGTATTAATATGAACGAAGATATATGGCATCTATATTCTACACTATCTCATGCTTCTGTTTCAGTTTTCTTCTTGTTATGCTATATTTGTGCGTATATAGGTTTTTCTTTGAGATCAATAGTATAGTGATGGTTGGTTAGAAAAAAAGTGAGAGTATGTAAGCACCATCTGTTTTGTTTCCAGCAGGGATTTTACAGTAATGCCAAAAAGGGACAAGCATCGTCTTCATCCTCCTCACCAACCACATCCAACGAGTCAGTGTCCCCAAAAGCAGCATCATTTGTGGTGAAACGTACGTAGTTAACACAGATCGAACAACCCTTTTCAGAACCCTCTCCAAACAAATATAACACGAGACTTACATAATCATATGATGTGTTTTTCTCAACCCCAACCATCTAAACTTACATGCGTTCTTGTTTGTTTTCTTTATTTCTCTTGCAGCACCTGAGAAAAAGCACCGTCTCCCATCTGCTTACAACCGTTTCATGAAGTAAGTGCAAAAGAGAAGTGTACTTTTTTTGTCTTTTGCTATCACAAACACAACCCACCAACACCATCACCACACGGTGCACTATTGCATTCTCTCTTATACCCTAAACAGTTTAACTCAGTTGTTTTTTCCCTTTCAATTGGTTATTATGAAATGTTAGTTTATTCATAACACAAGTTTGATTGTTATGAAGCACACCAAAATAAGTTAAGGATTACTTATGGTAATAATTTCTGACAAGGCTTATTAAATATATATATATATATATATATTTAAAGGTCTTCATAAGTAATTTCCATATCAACTTAAACTCGTTTCCAAATGAAAAACCATTCTTATTGTATAACATTTACAAATTGGTTGATTTTGGTGTCCATGTCAGAGAGGAGATACAGCGCATCAAAGCAGCAAACCCTGAGATCCCACATCGAGAAGCTTTCAGCGCTGCAGCGAAAAATGTAATTATTTTTTCTTCTAACCCTCAGTTTAGACTTTAGGGTTAGCACTGCGCATGCTTCTAACTAGCTTAACGTTTCTTGAAACTCACAAGATATTCATTCTTATATATATTCCTAATTTCTTGTGCTGCACAACTATTTCACAGTGGGCAAGGTTCATTCCAAATTCACCAACCAGTTCAGTTTCTGCAAGCAAAGTTAATGTAAGAATTCCTTATTATATATTATTAAAGATAATTCTTTATTTAGTCTTAATTATTTTATTAATTTTATCTTTTCATTCATATACTTCAGTATTAATTACATAATATCATTTCCACGTTTTGGTCTCTATCCTCTAAATTCATATTGTATATTTAAAATAAAACACGAGAATGATCTTGAAGTATAAATTTATAAGATAAAATTTGTTCAACTAAATGAATAACATAACCTATTATTAATTTCTTGCTTCTCCAAGATTAATAATTATTGGTTAATTTTCATGAACTGGTTTGTGCAGGCCGATTGATGGAGCTGTAGTATGATGCATGGTTTGGAGAGAATTGGAGCAAGTTAACCTAATTAGGTGTCACTTAGTAATATTAAATTATGTGGTGTTCATTTTCTCTATCTATATCTTTTATTTCCTTCAGTGTGGAGATGGACTTTGTGTCTTCATGTAGATCTGAAATATGTTTAATCAATGAAGGCAAGACTTCAGTGCCTATGTGTAGTACTTAGTACTAATTAAATATTTGTTAACCTAAAATAGTTGTGCTAAAGTACATTTTCCCCTCCAATTTTCAGATGCCATATTGGGAAATGTTTATGGATCAAAAATATTGGTAGAGTTTGAAAGTAATGTTGCATTTTCATTCAATACCAATTCCAATCTAGTTTCTCATAACAAGTGTTTTGAAAACATATATATATATATGCATATATTTGCTTTATGTGTCCACAGTAACATTGAATTTTATATCTTTTTCTTGCATTCAATTTAAATATAACATAAATGGCTCAGAGAACAAATTCAAGTGTTTACTTGCGGTAAGTGTCAACTTACACTACGACTTAAATATGTCTTAGAAAATTTTGCAATTTCAAACATTTTATATATATATATATATATATATATATATATATATATATATATATATATATATATTTCAGCTACCATTGTATATAAAAAATGTTTTAATATTAAATATTTAATATTTAATAATTCAAAAATATCAATAGATTTTTTTTTAATTTTTGTTCCTCCACACTATTTTTCCGCCAAAGTCTAACAAATATTATTTTAGTTCATGACAGCATGGATTTTTTTATTATTGATCTTGATGAAGTTAATTTTTACTAATGTTTATAACTATTTTGGATTAGATGAGTGAGAGTTATTTTAACGCATCAATTGATGTTTTTTTTTATATTGACTTTCCGACATATGTTGCCTAAAGTGACATATCTTGAAAGATAATTTTAAATAAGGTTGGTGAACATAAAATAAATAAATAAATAAATAAAATTAAACATGAATTAAAAAAAATGTTCAATAAAAAGAATCCCGACGTATATAAATTGAAAAATAAGCTAACATTGGTTGAAAAAAATTTCATCAATATTGACTTAAAAAAAACACTTGATTATGTGAATCACGGAATAATTGTGGAGCTACCGCAGCAACGGACATAGGTAGTAAAGTTTGAAGCTTTACTTTTGAACGTGTAGGCTAATTATATAGACAGTATCGAAAATTTGGCTCCTCGTCATCAATTGCGGGTGGTGAACCAGTGTAGAGCTAAAATAGATTTTCGTCGCACACACTTAAAATTTAAATATTAAAATTAATTTTATTAATGTGATTTAAATTTTAAATTTATTTATTTATTGTTTTTTTTAAAAGTGATTATAATAACCTTTGGCCTGTCAGTTTAATGTGAAGTCAAATCAAACAAAAATATCATAGTTTATTTAAGTAAAAAGACCGGAGTAGATTTTTTTTTTTAATATCTCTAATTTTAAATAATCGAAATAATTTTAAAATTATAAAATTTTAATTTCTTTTTCAAGATTTTCTATCCAAATAATATATTTTATAATAAAATATTTAACTTATTTTATAAAAATGAATTACCGATTAAAATTTCTCGATCTAAACATATTTTTTTGAGCTAATTTTTCTATACACATTTTTATGAGATAAAATCTTAAAGTAGGTTATGTATAAACTAGTGTATAGAAACTCTCATAATTTCTTTAAATTGTTTTAATTTGTGTATATGCTAATTTTAGTTTATAACAAAACTCATCTACAAATACAACATTTACATTAGTATATTTCGATAAGAAAGTGAATTTTATCCCATAAATTATGGTTATATCATAATAGGTAGAAGTAACTATTTGATATTTTATCTTCAGAAAACTGAATTGATTATTTTTCAGCAAGAAATCAATCCAAGCACATTATACCATGGTTGTCGAGCAGTGAAAATGGAAGTTTTAAGGAAAGAGAGAGATAGGAAGAAAAAGTAGAAGAAAATGGTAGATGTAATAAGTGAGGTGATATAAAAGAACTTGAAAAATGTGATAAAAGTGATATTTATAACCAAATACTTTTATCCTTTCATCATGTACATTGCGTGACTCAGGACATGGTTCCCAGAATCTCAATGAAAATAAACACACTCCATTCTAACAAAAAATATGAATATCAGCGGCCATGTATGCTCTAATTAGTACAACTGAGACCCCATTGCAAAATTCTCTATATAAAAACCTTTGTTGTTTTTTTGTATATCATTCTATACATTGGTTACCAACTAACCTCACTATTTTAACTCTTCTCTACAACAAGAGCCTTTAACTTATCTACTACTTTCAAAAGGGACGAATTTCCCTCACAAGCCTCAACCAATATTTTGAATCTGGACTCTAACCAACTCTTTTCAGAAAGCACACCATTCAGCTGCTCCATCATGACAGATGTTGATAGCTTGTTACGATGAATAATGAGGTTCAGTAACATTCTCTGTAACAGAAGTTCCATTAGTAATGTTTAGCTATATCATCATAATATATGTGAAAATGTAAATGCCATAATGATTAAATAAGGAAGGATAAAGATAGGACAAAATCATATCTTATGCTTCATCCATGGCCATACAAACACTGCAACTAGGATTTACCTAAACAGTGATGTCTCACTGCATAATCTTAAAATTTTATTTGGTAGACCCAAGTCCTACTTGCTATATCCAAACAATATGATGACAGAACAAGCTCCCACATGCATTTGATTTCCTCAATCAGATTCAGCTAGGATAAAACTAATCGAATGATGAATGAGATTTGCCTAAACTACAATTTGTCCATGAGGGTCAATCTTTTAAAACTTTGGTTACCTCATGTTGTGATTTCCCAGCATAATCTCGTAAGAGAGACCTAGCAAGTCTGTTTCGCAGTAATAACTTATCTGAGGGACAGGCATGAAATATAAAAGAAGAAAGATGATGGACCACGAGAGTATATGCAACTGATCCTCGAATTGCTGATCTGTCAAGGGCGTCAGAAACCCATGACTTTGCATAAGCCTCCAAAATCGCTTCATTATCCTGCAGAGATACAGTACACCATTAATGTTTATTTAAATACATTGTATTCTGAGTCAATGACTAGTATGCATTCCACAAAGTTCACAAGGAAGCTACAGTACAGCCAATAAATGTCAGACATTGTGAATTTTTAACACATAAATCTGCAATATGGCCAATACAGCAATAGATTAACATAACCAAACATTATCAATAATGTAAGTGCTTGATAAGATCAACAAAAGCGTGTTTGTAATCACCATCTTCATTTTTCTCCTCTTAAAATCTTCAAGTTCAATGTAAATAAATACTTTCTCTTACACACATATTCCTCGCCTTCTGCTACATTTTGATCTTTACCTATATCGGTTGGTCCATTGCAAATCTTAGAGCTAGGCAAAAATCTAGAGAAAAAACAAAACCGAGATAACTCTGTTATGCATTCTTTTACATTTTCTGTGACATCTTGGATTATTTTTGACATGTGGTTTTTGTAAAGGCGCATCAAAGATGAATAAAGCTTTTTTTTAACATTTCAAAAAATCAATATTTTAAACTATTTTAGTTTGATGCAAAATAAGCTTTTGCTGCACTTTGTGTGATATGCTTTTATGATTTGATGCAAATGTTAAGCAACTACTTTTTTAAAATTTACAAAAGTATACATATAATAAATATAAATAATAATTATATGGAACCAAATATCATCAACATAGAAAAATATCAAATTAACAAGTATTCAAACAGTATCAGATGAAGATAAATGCTCCATAGTAAAATAGCTTGGTAGCTAATGATTATGTTTTCTTACCTCAGTAGGTTCAAGGTATCCTTCAGCACCTGAGAAGCATTTTTCTAAAGGTGGTAAAAGCTCAAGAACACGAGCATTGGACAGTGTATTCCAGGCAGCAAGGCGAATGGAAGTTTCAACACAACGATGTAGATAAAGTGAAACTTGCCGGCCAAAAATCACATCACCATAAGAAACAGCAGAAAACTGCTCTACAAGTTCTTCAATAAAAGTTGAGTAACTTTCATGAATCTCAGATTGGAACCGCAGAAACTCAAGATGCTTTTTATCTTCTGAAATAACGTCTTTACTCTGGTTTAACTTTACATCATTAAGAAGCTGACCATAGAGATCCTGCAAAGCTTCAAAATTATCCCTGCTCTGATCATGTTCAAGTATTTCCATTCCAACAACAAAATTGACAGATAAGGAATGTAACTTCCATGTTAATGATACATGATGAACAGGAGAAGGAATGTCAGTGCCTTGTAAATTGGACATTGCTTCAACACCTAAAACAAAGAAAAGTCCACATCTGGCAACTTCAAGCAAATTAGAGGGATCATGTAGTACATCATCAACTTTTTGAGTACTTGCTCGCTTGCTATGGAAAATCGTTGAGATTGGACTGAGGTAAAAGTGAGCTGGAAGTGGTAGTTTCTGGTGAGCCCATTCTAGCGTTAAAGAATTACAGCATGGACTTGCCATGGAAGACATGTCTGAATCCTCATATATGGTTTCCAAACACGCACCAACCTTTGTAGAGGTCTTAATGCCAGAGGAACTACTGCCACCCAGAGCTTTAGACTTCACCTTTTCAGACAGCCATCTGCTCCTGAAATGAGATGATAACATTCTGCTGAAGTGTATGTAATCCTCTTCTACATGTTGCCAGCTAAAGGTTTTACCCCTCTTATTAAAGAGAAAGTTCTGTATACAGAGATCAAGGTGCTTCAATAAAGAGACATGGAGCAGAAGATCCAATGTCTTCTCCACAACAACCTTATCTCTAGGTCCAGCAGTTAAACACAATCCCAAGCCAGCATTAACCCTTTGCACACTGAAGGTTGTTTCTTCAGTCACAACATTGTTAGATACTTTTTCAAAAATTTCCAGCAAATAGACAAGAACTCTTGCATCTGT